AAATGATACCAGGTGTGCAACATTGAGCGAATGCACACTTTTGAAAGTTTTAAGCGTTATTCGATGACAATTGATGACACCTAAATAAAGTAATTGACTTCAAAGATCTGTGTGAATGGTACTTAAATATTCCGTGACGCTTACACAACATATTTGTTATTTAAAAGCATGCCCGCTCAATACCCCCACACTCCGCCCGGGCGTTAATTTTTCCCCAATGAGACAATGAGACACGAGTCAAGTTATGAGTCGGGTCAGCGGTTTTCAAAATTCAAAATGCCAAAATGCCTAAGTACTTCATGTACTCTTATTATAGTGTATTTAGAACTTCTCTATAATTCTCTCACATTCCCTGTGTTTCCCTGCATTCCTCCTTCGGCAAGGTAAGATGTTTACTCAAAGCTGAGTATTTTGACTTTGTTTGTCTGCATTATTATTGAGTATTTTTGACTTTGTTTGCCTACATCTTCATTATAATTAATTCGAAGAAGCGAATTTTTCGTTGACAATTTCAGAAACCAGATTAAGCGTTTTCATTCAACCGTTGCTCAACTTATTGTGGCGTGTTAGGATCCTAATGACATTTGTTTATTTTCTTCACCGTGCATTGTGAGAGCTTTGTAGTCAATCACAAATAAAACATGCTTTAGCGCCCAAGCTGTTGTCGCCATGTTATAAAAGAATAAGTTCATGCTTTTAGCTGTGCGTATATCGAGTTATGGATGCACTTGGGAAGTTTGGAGAGCACTCAAGAGGCTATCGCCTCGAGCAACTCTTACGCTTCTTTCTTGCTCTCTAAACTTCCCGTGTACATCTATAACTCGATATAGTCACCCTAAGCATGAACCAATTCTTCCGCATATAAATATTATCAAGTTAAGAAAATATTCAGTTTTTTATCAGGCACTTACTAAATGTATAGGGAGAGCTGGATAACAGGGAGCTAAGATACAATTATATATTTGAATAGCAGTTGATATATGAAGAAATAGATGACCCAGATATATTACTGTTCTAGCAAGAGTTTTTAATTTTTATTTTAATTATACTGAACATTTGCGGAAGCAGAATGCATCACTTCATCTGGAATTGCGTTGCATACTTTGTTTCTTGTAGAGTATTTACCAAAGTTTGTCCTAATAAAACTATTCAGATGTTAAAAATAAAGAATTCTAAACTTGATTTGGTATAAGAGTTATGTTAAGGGTGATTTCATTTTATGTATTTGAATGTTTCATAACATATTTGAAAATCCACGAGCTCATACGTATACGTGATATTCAGTTGATACGTTGCAATCAAAAAGCGCAATTATGTCCACCAGCCACAATCCTGGCCAAAATCTTTGGGACATTTTATCTTTTTACCAACAAATGCTTCTTGCCTTCACCTTCCCCTACCCTCCTCACCCCCAACACAATGTTGATGGTCGTCCATCTAATGCCAACATGGGCCACGCCCAAGATTCCAACACTGGATGGGGAAGGGGGGGGAGGAGTAAATAGGAGGAAGATCTTATCTTATCAATTGCTTCTTGGTCAAATGTCCTAAGGACTTTTGGCCAAGATTGTAGTCAGCGTTTGTTAAAAGAAGAACAATGTACCATGTTTAAGTCGAAAGGAAGTAATTCTTGGTGGTTGATGCTAGAGAACGGAACGCACAGGGAACGCACGGTGTAATATACCAGCAAAAACCTTACGGATTCCACAGCAAAATACACGGGGGAAACTAAAGGTAACATAAGGAACGCAAGACGGATACACTCAGGGAATGCACTAGGAAATACATGAGGAAACGCAACCTCAATCCCAGGCTCTCTCTCCTTTGCCTGCCTTGTCCTTGTAAAGTAGAGAGAGCCTGGGACCGAGGTTGGAACGGAATGCCCAGTGACAAACGAGAACACATCGGGGAATCCACAGCAAATGCAAGGGTAGGATGAGTTCCCTCCTACTTTCCCCGGGTAGTGGCCGTGAGTTCCCCCATATGTTTACCCGTACATCCTTTTGCCCAACGCAATCCCAGTAACTTCTGCGTGTGTTTTATTGCGTGTTCGGTGCGTTTTACCGCGAGTATCACTTGAGTTCCACCATACGTAGCCTCATGTGTTTCATCATGGGTTCCTCCTGGGCTTCCTACTAACTTCCCTTGCAATTGCTGTAATTTCTGCTATTGTTGTTCTATTACATACTAGGTTCGCTGCTCTTTCCCTTACTTTAAACGGCACATTTCCTCCCGGCGTGTCTTCCGCCCCGCCCCCCCGCCCCGCTGCGTTCGCCACGCGTCCCTGGTGGGTTTGTTATTAAGTTTATTGCAGCACTATAAAGGCCTGTCCAAATGGGAAATGTTTTGCAACCAAACATCATCGAACATTGTTTGGTGATCAAACGTGCTGATGTTGAAGTGAGTGGCCAAACGGTCAAAACATGTTTGATCAAACACAGATCAAACTATGAATACAAGCTGCTGAGCAAACGTGCTACGCATGCGCGCGCCAAACATGTTTGATACGGCTGTCCAAACGAACAAAACATCGCCCATCAAACACGGGAACAAAAGAAATGCTTTAAGTTGTTTGATCTAATGTTTGATGGCCTTCAAATTTTATCAAACACCCCTGAACATGACCAAACACGATCAAACAGTACCAAACAAGGTGGCCAAACGGTAAAATGTTTGGTCATGAAGCAATGTTTGCTGGTGTTTGGTCGCCAAACATTTCCCGTTTGGACAGGCCTTAAAGGGACACAGTCAGCTTTGGGACCGCGCTAACCTGGACACTAGTTTTCTCACTTTGAAAAAAGTTTATCTCAACCTGAAATCAAAGTACATCCGCTTTAATCTTCACAGTGTTTTGCTTGATTTTCAATCGTTTACTGAATAGCCTGTTTTTGAGTGTGCTTTTGCTCATTCTAAGATGCTATTTTTATCATATTTGGCTAAGAACTGTATGGATCGAGTCTCTGTGATATGCAAATTAGCTATGAAATAACATCTAATGCGCATGTGCTCCAGCTGACTCTGTCCCTTTAAGTCTCATTTGCCAGGAAGGTTCCTTAATGCATTTATTCTTCAGTCACTCTAAACCACCAGAACCGATATGTGAAAACTTTGAGAAAGCATTAATGACTTTGTACAGACGAAAGCAATTATAAAATTGAATGCAAATTTTCAAGAAGATAAAAGTTAGCAACGGACTTCATTCGCAAACTATGCTGTAAGAGAATAATAATTTTTGGAAGAGAGTTTTTATGACATCCAGAGTAATCAGTGGTGAGGCTATTTAGTCAAAGCCAAAGGCTGTAGGCTGATAGCACTTATGTTGCTCTGCAAGCAGAGACTCATTTGATCTTCCTGAAAAAATTGGGAAGAGTAAGATTGCTGGAGACTCTGCTCGCAGGGTACACTTGCAATGTACATGCACCAAGACCGTCGGTTAATTGTTTTGGCTATCAAGAAAAACCAAATCCGATAATCGTTTTATTGCACATTGTTACAGAGAAAACGTGGGTCTGACTTGTTTTCGGTTCTAAGTAAAATGATTTTAATCTTTGTTCTGAATGGAGCATTATTCAGTGCAAAACTCTACCTATGAGGCCACTGGGCCATCACAATCATAATTAAGTATAGTATAAAACCACACTATGTACAAGATGGAATCCAAATTTTTCGAACCTCCAAGGAAAATGAAAATTGGTTCAAAAAATCAGATAGTTTGAGAAATCGGGGGTAAAATTACAGCGTTTGACTAAGGTGAGGAAACAACGTTTGGTTCAAGTTATCGGGAGGTTCAAAAACCTGAGGGTTTGAGAAATTGGGATTCACTGTAGTAATATTTTAACAATATTTTCAGAGATGAAAGTCCTGTCTGGCAAGTTAGTTGGGCACATCCTGTGTTTGGAAATCTCTTGGCTTCATGTTCTTATGATAGGAAGGTGAGTGTATTTAATAAGCCATCAGACAAATCCAGCATTGTAATTGTTTGAGTCCTGCAAATATCAGGGATTTCTGTACACAAACGTAATTGCAAGCATCATGTTGAATTCTTTGAACTATTTTAGTTGGCTTTGCCACATGTCCAGTAATTAATAAATAGTAAGGATTTAGATGCTAAAATTTATTACTTTGTGTGTTGAAAATAAATTTTAAGGCAATTTTTTCATTCATAATAATATCAAAACTAATACTGTTGTCATTTGCAAGAGGAACAAAGGAAAATTGTTGGCAAACTTAGAATGTTAAACATGAAGCATCACACAAAATTATGGTAAATGTCATGCACTTCACTGACGCACCACATACACTTTGTATGTGAACATGTACTGTGATTGTCATAAACCATGTTATCTCATTCAGGTTATTATTTGGAAAGAAACTAGCAATGGATGGGCAAAACTTCAGGAATTTTGTAATCACGATTCTTCAGGTAAACAAAATAGATTCAGTCAGTTAGTCAGTCAGAGAATCAGGTAGTCAGTCAGTCAGTCAGTCAGTCATACAGACAGTCAGTCCTAGCGACAGACGGACAGACAGACAGACAGACAGACCTACAATGTTGACAACACTTCCAAAAATACAAGAGGTTCCGTCAAGTTCAACAGTAATGTTGTTTAATATTATTGTAAGTTGTCAACAGCTTTTGATCACACTTTTATAGAATAAACACATTATAAGTAAGTAAAGTAAGTAAGTAAGTAATTCTTTATTTAACATGACCACTCGCTTAGCTAAAAAGCTTCTTTACAGGAAACCCACGCAAAATGTCAAATGGTTATAAAAAACAATTGAAGTATTTTTTCTTTACGTGGTTTGATTTGATCTTGTTTCAGTGAACGCTATATGCTGGGCTTCTCCAGACTACGGCTTGATGTTAGCTTGTGGTTCATCAGATGGCTCTATCTCAATTTTAAGTAGTTCAGGTTTGTGTTTTGTTATTTTCTTCAAGAGTGGAATCTTTTGTTCCAGATTCCAAATTCTTATAGGCCATGTTGTTTTCATTTTCAGGTGATGGAACGTGGGAAACAAAGGAAATAAATAACGCACATACGGTAAGTTTGATAATGTTTAAAATGTCACTGATTCTGCCATGAAGAGTAGAACAAACATTCTCACACACTGAATGACATTTGTCTGCCACACAAGGCAACAGCACTTTATTAACAAACAACAAAACCGAAAACAGCATTTACAAGGACTAATGGTGTGAAATATGCAACATCAAAGCCTAAGCCTGTAGGCAAAAAACAGAACATCAACAATACTTAGAATGTATCAGATGAGCGCAGACTGGCAAAGGAAGGGTGGGCGGGAAAAGCTGTTGCTTGTATGGCAAGAAACAAAAAATTGAGTCACAAGACCTAGCATGACACTTGATATCCTAACTCAAGCCCAGCCCCCGCTTCAGTGTGTGAGAACCTAATTTCTCACCTCTTTTGCAAGCTCAGACGGTGAGAAATCCATGTTCATCTCTTTTTAACACTCATTGCTCAGTTTGTCTTGATCTGCTCACTGTTATTAGCTGTCAGGATGTAGCAGATGAGTAAGAGTTAGTCTTGCTTCTGTTCACATGCATGGTCTAAATTTGTGATCTTGCGTGTTGTAATGATCAAGTACATAATTATTAATAAGCCTGTTCCAAATTAAAGTTTCTTTACATGTGGGGTGCATTTACATTAGTAACAGTTGTCATAATAAACTTGTATAATTACATTAAAATTATTTTGTACTGCAGAGAAAAATACAATGTGAGTAGGAGCTTAAGGTAACTGAGTTAAGATAGTAAGGTTCAGGTACATTTTGGATGAATCTAGATTAGTCAATGACTGGTTCTAGAACAGAGATGGTTGCAAGCACTGGTAGACCTCTTTGGTGACTAAACCTGCCAGATACAGGTGCTGTACATTGTTGAGATTGGCCTGTTAAAATCATGGTCAGAGCCATTCTGGCTATCAAAAAATATTAAATATTAAAAATATGATTTCTACTTCTTGTGTACCATTTTTCTGTCAGGTAAATGTTCCTTCAGATCTGATCACTCATTTCTTATTATGATTGTTCTTTTATTTTTCTTGTTTAGATTGGTTGTAATGCTGTTAGCTGGGCACCTTCAGTCTCACCAGGATCATTACTAGAGGTAATGAAAATGACAGGAGAATTCCTTAACTCCTGTTACTACAGCCCTACAGCCCAATAATTATTCTTCACTAGGAGTAATGGACAATGTGGAACAAACCTTTTTATTCATGTTCCATTTATTTAATTATCAATTTATTACCCATTAATTACTTGAGGTATAGAGTACATGTATATAGTATAGATTCAGGGCTGGACAAAAAATTGCTGACCGGTAGCAACTGTCTGGTGCAAGCAGATTTTCCTGCTCGGCAAGTAATGTTTCATTCTCACTTGCACAATGGGCAAAGGCCAAGGCAGGTTGTCTTTCAACTAAGTAAAAGAAAGGTAAACTAAGACTTCCCATGGCAAGCAAAATTTAAGAGCTGCTTGTCTGAAGGCAAGCTGGAATTCAAGTTTTTTTCTAGCCCTGATAGAGTAGAGGATTGCTGTCCACATACTCGTATTTAGTTTCTATGTCACAGTAAGGTTGTTCATACATGTACACCAAAAGTGTGCAGCAATATTTTGTCAATCTGCAATATTAATTATCCTTTCCAGCCATAATGCAACTTCTACCTCTGAACACTAATGTGCTAGGGCTGATCTACACAGCAAGACTTTTGCTTGCATGTTACATGCTTAAGACATTCCTGCCGCACAAAATTGTTCTTCTTAATCAAACCTACCGCTTACAAACACAATAGTTCCATGTAGCTGTAAAGACTCCCCTAGCTCAAGCTATGTACAGTTTCTCTTTTGTAAATAGTTTTAAATGCCTACTCTCAAGACCACACCTCGGTATTCAAGGTATTGCTGCTATTGTATGATTTTGATTGACAGTGAAAACATGTCCTGACTGAAAAATTCTCTAACCTAAACAACAGCTGTTGTTGCAGTTCTCAATGGTTGACATATGTCATTCTGCCCCATATTACACACAAATTGTTGACCTTTTTGCCTTGCTTGTGTACATTCTTAAAGAGGAATATATTAGTGTAGGTTCAACTGAAATTATTAATAACAGCTGCTGTTTGTTGATGTTTTTTAGCCTGGATCAAAGTCAGGTGTTTTAGTGAAAAGATTCGTCACTGGAGGATGTGATAACTTGGTAAAAGTATGGAAGTAAGTCACAATTAGTATCATTTTTCTGATCAGTGTGACTTTTGATTGTCTTTAAGTGAGTGTCCACTGTGTGCTAATCCATTTTGTTTGTGTAATATTTAAAGAGAGGTTGATGGACAGTGGGTGGAGGAAGAGGAACTAGAAGCACACAGCGACTGGGTTAGGGATGTTGCCTGGGCCCATAATGTTGGTCTTCCTGTCAGCACCCTAGCAACCTGCTCTCAGGTAATGCAGTCATGAGTTAGGTAATAGATAGAGGGGTTCTCAATAACTTTTGTCGTAAATCCAAACAAAACCAACAACAATGGCTAATCACATCTAACAAACCTACTAAGCAGCACAATCAATGAATGACACCTCAAAGCAAGTTAAGACATCATAATCACTAAACAGGGAAAATTGTGCACGACCAAGGTGCAATTTGTTTTCATTAATTGCATCTGACTGGTTCAGTAGGGGGTGGAACTCTAAAATCAATCACAAAGCATTATTTATGCAAAAACAAAGCAATTACCAATTACTTTCAAAATTTGGTTAACTGATCCTGAAATTGTTAAACAACAAAGTGAAAAAGTTCATTGTATCTTTATAATTCCAATGTTCCAACATGTTCACTTCTCTGGTTGGCGCTGGTATAGGGAATTTATTACTTTTAATGCTGAGCATCGTCATAAGATTCGTGCTATTTGTTGCTATACTTATGGCATTTCCAAATTATTTATTTATATATCTATTTTTGTGCAGGATTGTCGTGTAGTAATCTGGACAAAAAATGAAGTTGGAGGAGGATCATGGACTTCAAAGGTAATTAAAACAAAAATGTGTTTCTGAGAAGCACGTTGATGATCTCTGGAGATTACAATTCTTGTTGAATCCCTTTTCTTGGAGGTAACCACGTGTTGTTGTAACACATTTGCAGGTTTTAAAAAAGTTTGGTGATGTTGTGTGGCATGTGAGTTGGTCAGTAACTGGAAACATTTTAGCTGTATCTGGTGGAGACAACAAGGTAAA